CCGAACGGTTCCAAATTTATATTTGGAACCGACGGTTCCATTAACTAAATACACGAAAATTTCTGGAACCGAAAATAACCGAACCGAACCGAACCGAACCGACCCGCGCCCACCCCTAATCAAAGAGACAAAAATGCAAATGTCTAGATGCTTCTAACCTACTACTATAATCTCAAAATTAAACATTTAACAATAATTAAAAAATATATAATTCTTTAATAAGACAAGAATTTTCAATAGAAAGGTGTCAACCTAAGTTTCTTGATTCCCAACTTTTTTTTTCTCTTTTTGATGACTCAGTTGTCCAAATTTCGTCCGACTAATCCTGAAGAGTGATGACATTCTCACTGAGTTCGCCACTGGGAATAATCCGGATGCAGTCACAGCTTTTGATTCCCAACTTTTTGTTAGGATTGTATGTGGTGTTATGGTTTTATATATTAATAGAATAATACAATGGGGTAATGATTCCATCAAAATTTATGAAGTAAATTTCGATAATTATTGAAACTAAAGTTTCACGGAACGTTATATTGACATTTGGATGTTGTGTCAACATTGGTACGAGATTTGCAACTATTTTGAATGGAAAATTCTCTATCAAAGATAAAGTTACAAGTAGAACCAAGAAAAAAAATCACCTTTCTAATTTACCATCAAGATGTTAATTGATTTGGCAATATATAATGGAAGGAGATAGGACACGTCATCACTCTCCATGTCCATCCTTGTTTGGTGAGGTCGGTGGTGAAAGATCGTTTGTAGGGCACCCATATCTTTCTCCAATCATGTTACCAAAATCTTTTCTTTATACAAATATTCTTAATAATTGAACTCAATAGTATAACGAATGTAATTTAACTTTTTTTAATATTGTTCAATAGTATCCAGTTCGTTGGAGAACCACCTGCCCCAATCAAATACAACTGATTCAAGAAAGGCAAGAACAATTGCTCATACATACAATTATAGTAAAATTGAGTCATATGTCGCCTTCGAAGGAGACTAGTTTGTGATCGAGCCATGCTGCCCTCTTATCACATCCTAGATTGATGTGAGATAATTTAGTTCTTATTTATCGTTAATATTAAATAGAGAGTCGCAATCACCGAATCATATTTTTAACTAGAACACGTTTAGCATGTAATATTGAGCAATATTGTACACAACTATGAATGCAAATGAAACTCGTGATTACATATAAAGTCTTGTGCACCATATGATGCGTACGACATGCCTAAAGAAATTTTGAGAAAATTTAGTTATATTTATTGTTAGAAAATATGGGTCATGGGGTTGCCCATGTGGGGTAACTCGACCTACAAGACATCAAAAGAGTTGTAGGGGCTGATTTGAATTCCGTTGTAGGGGCTGATTTGAATTTGGAATTCAAATCTACAACTCCCCATAACCTCTCACAATTCCCATAAAGCCTCCATTTTTTTTTGTCTAGCAATAGAGATAGAAAAATATGGTAGAAAATAAGTGAAAATCATATGGAAAATCACCAAAGAATAGAAAATTGCCCAAAACCACATATATGGCATGAAAACTCACAAAATTAGGCATTTAAATTGTGGATAATACATCCGATTGTGATCGAGATTTAGACAATTGGAGAATAAGAAAAAATAGATTAATGAGTTTTAAAATGCAAGGTGACTTAATCACATAAGAATTTTGGAATTCATCATTTCAAATAAGAAACTTGACCCGAAATTTATATTAAAATATGTTTTGAATTACTTCATTGGTACAGAGCTATAATGTTGAATTCCTTACTGGAATACATGATTAAATATGTAATTACATGATACAATTGGGTTATGAATTTTGTATATAAAGTTTTGAAACCTTATATGGTCTTTAATGACATCTTTTGATAATTTACTAATTTTTGAACATTAATAATTATAGTATGGTTAGAAAGGTATGTTAATGATCTTTTCAACCATATAAAGAACTTAAATTTTGGGCTTAAAACGAAGAAGTTATGAGATTTTGAAATTTGGATGTAAATCTGAATTTTTACATGAAAATCGATAAAATTCGAAACTTCATCATACGGTAACTTCTTTTACATTGTGTTTCATGCTTCGCATTTAGTATGGTTGAATAGACCTCCTCGAGGCCTTTCCAAGGATATAAATATCATTAATTTTGGCCTTAAAATGAAGAAGTTATGGTTTCCCAAAATTTGGATGTAAATCTAACTTTTTGCATGAAAATTGGTAAAATCCGAAATTTCATCACATCATAACTTCTTCTACACAATGTTTTATGTTTCTCATTTGAAATGATTGGATAGATCTTCTCAAAACATTTTCAATGATATAAAGATTATTAATTTTGGTCTTGAAATGATGAAGTTATGATTTCTTGAAGTTTGATTGAAAATCTAGAAATTTGCATGATTTTTTTTTTTTTGGTCATTACTCTCGTGCAGATCTAGCGATGTCTCAAATGTGGCCTTAAATATTAATTTTGTAAAATCTGACCGCACAAATGAATTCAGAATGTCGAAATTAGTTGGGATGACCAATGATTTTTTTTTTCCAGAGTGGCATGTACGGGATCTGATTGGTCTTACGCAAGAGGGCATGCACGGGATCCGATTGCAATTCTTAAAAAAATACAAATTAGTCTCTGAATTATTATTGATTTTCCAGTATAAGTAAATTAATTTTTGGATAGTTAAAAATATTTTTTTATTTAATGCTCGAAATAAATTTGTAAAAAAAATATTAAAAATGTATTTTTTTTTTAACTTGAGTAAAATTTGAATTTTTTTTTAATAAAATCAAGAATATTTATTAAGTGGTATTTGGTTAGTGGGAGCTATTTTTTGAAGTGATTTTTTATTAATTTAAAAAATAATTGCATATTGGTCCCACATGTGAGAACACGTGCGGGACCCGATTTCAATTCTGAAAATTACATATTGGTCCCTAAATTATTCTTGATTTTTCAGTATAATTAAATTAATTTTTGGATAGTTAAAAATATATATTTTTTGTATTTAATATTTAAAATAAATTTGTAAATAGTATTAAAAAATATTTTTTACCTTGATGAAATTCTAAATTTTTTTTATAAAATCAATAATATTTATTAAGTGGTATTTGGCTAGTGGGAGTTGTTATTTTGAAGTGCTCTCCTTTTTTTGAAAATGAAAAATACTCAAAAGTATTTAAAATACCACATTTTATATATGTTCATGAGTTGTATAGGTTTTTGATTAGTTTGTGCGATCCATTGTGACTTGTTTTCAATTTTCTTACTTGATCAGATATTGCTAGTTCTATAGACCTTATAGCATTCTTAGAGGGAAATCTACAAAAGTAAGGGTTGTGAAACTTGTTGAAAAA